ATGAAGACCAGCCCAGGAATGCTTCACTTGGAGCACCACACTCTTCCTGGGGACCAGTGATTTGAGGGATGTTTCATGCTTTCAACCTTTAGATCTATGTAGGCTGAAGATGTTGGATCTATGGGGATCTTTCCTCTCTTCAAACCTTGCTTGTTTATTTTCACACGTCTCACTCACACCAGGACCACAAGGTCTGCTCGGTTTCCGTAGGTGGGTTATAGCAGGGCATAGCAGCCAGAAAGCCCCTCGCTGTGCCTCTGGGTCTGTGGCTGTTTGGGTGCAAGGTCTGAAGTATCACATGGAGCTTCTCTGATTCTTGCCTAACATCCTGCTGTGTGGGCTTGTTATCTCTCCCCCACTTCTGCTGGGCCTTTGCTGAGCTTTTAAGGTAAGAAAAAGTATATGTGCTGTTCCTTGGTCACACTTTTTTTGGCAGGTCTACATAGAAAACAAGTCCTCAGCTGTAGCTTGAGCTCTCTGGTGATGTTACTTTCCTTGCCTCTGGCTTGTAAAACCAAAGGAAGGCATTTCTGCTTTTTTAATTTATTTTTTTTAAAACTAACAGTTCTTGGCGTGTTGCACAAGCCACTTCCCCTTCCCCTGGCAGAAGTGTTGCCTCAGCTGCCAGAGCAGCAGCGCTGGTCCAGCCCAGTGCAGTCGGAGCCCTGCCCGACCCAGTGCCCATGGGGGCTGTGGGACCAGGGCTGTGCCAGCCTCGCTGCTGCACTCCTGCCCATTTGTCACCAGCCGCTCTTCTGGATGGCACCGAGGCCTGAATTCAGCTTTTCAAACAAAACCCCAAGTAGGCTTCATTTATGGTGACAAACTGAAGTGGCTCTAGGGGGCTTTTTGGGCATGGAATTCCCAGAATGGTTTGGGTTGGAAGGGATCTTAAAGATCATCTTGTTCCAACCTCCCTGCCATGGGCAGGGACACCTTCCACTAGAACAGGTTGCTTCATGCCCCATCCAACCTGGCCTTGAACACTTCCAGGGATGGGGCAGCCACAGCTCCTCTGGGCAACCTGTGCCAGGGCCTCAGCACCCTCATAGTAAGGAATTTCTTCTTAATATCTAATCTAAACCTGCTGTCTGTCAGTTTGAAGCCATTCCCTCTTGTCCTGTCACTCCAGTTCCTAATGCAGAGTCCCTCTCCAGCTTCCTTATACCCCCTTCAGATACTGGAAGGGGCTTTGAGGTCTCCACACAACCTTCTCTTCTCTGGGCTGAGTAGCCCCAACTTTCTCAGCCTGTTTCCACAGGGGAGGTGCCTTCATTCCAGCTCCCATTGATTATTTGACAACAACGTGAGCACTGACTCAAGCCCGTCTATTTTGTGTTTGTTTATTGATGCAGAGAGCTCAGGCAAAGTTCATCAGAAGGCCATTGATCATTATGTAATCCCTGAGAAATAGGTAAGTGAGCAGTTGCTTGCATACAAAGACACAACAGGAATACAGTGCATTGGGGTGGGGCAGTCACAGCTATCAACCCCCAAATACAACATCTACTGAAAGCACCAGCCTCTTTACTCCTCGTTCTCTCAGTCAGTGATATCTGAAGCATCAGCTCTCCTGGCACGGAGACAGGACTTCAAGGATGGAAAGAATCGCTCACGCCAAAAATATGGTGGCATGATATGGCAGACCAGCTTATGGAGGATCATCCCTTGGCTTGGGAAGATAGTGGGTGCAAGCAAGCCTAGATGAAGCAATCAGGGTGCTCTCTCGGTGGTAGTTCTCCTTTTTCTGCTAGTGAGAGTTTGCACAGGGTTTTCCTCTGCCTCACCTAGAAACTGGCTGTACTGAACGATCCAGCCTTCCGGTAATGTGTTCTTTAAAGGCTTAAAATAGTTCCTGTGTTTGTCACAATCTGGATTTCACAATAGCTGCCAGGGTGAGTCACAGGCAAGGGCCAAACAGCCGCTTCTGTCACCTGAACAGCCACCTCTCACCCCTTAAATCCATAAACTGAGCTGTGGTTTCTTTATGCCTCTGCCTTCTAGGAGTCATCCTACTCATCCCCTATTCCCTGGTATTCCCAGTGTGTTTGGCAGTAGCATGTCTAGTGCCTGTCTTGCTTCAGAGGGCTCCAGCAAGATCCTTTGTGTTGTACCCTGCTTAGCTGCTGGCATGGCTTTCTGGAAGTGGTTTACTGGATAACTTTTATGTGACATGTTTTCTGTTGTGGAATGCACATTCCAGCCCTGTTCCTGCACAGACCTGTCACCGTGGTCCAAGCACTGCGTTGACTTGCACAAAGGCTAGTGGTGGCCAGGAGGGCTTTTGGGGTTTTAAATTACTGTAATGGATCTCACTGTAGTTCAGCAGCACCTCCTGGGCACCATGCTGGCAGCTGTCTGCTCTAATTTTTTTTTGTGCTAATTACCACCCCAAGGACAAATTGTCCATGGGATTAAAATGCCCAGGAGTGGAGGAACTAAAAGATGGAACTGGATGCCTGCTAGATTGACCAACTGTAGTAGACTGGCATCAAACAGTTTCTTGGAACCTCACCATCTGGGTGATTCTTTTGCTTCTGTCCACAAATTTCACTGGGAAAAATTGGAAATGCTGTAAATTCTTCAAGGGCTGCATGTTTGGTGGTGTTTTATCTGAGAACAGAAGCTCTCCGCACATCTTTACCTTCTCTACATGAACTTTTGCTGAGTTGGTCACCCTGTAATTGGGCTGTTTTTTGCAGAAACAGTTTGAAGCCTGTTTTGCAAACCCCTGTCCCCCAGCCCAGCATCCACCCCCCCGGATGCCTTAGCAAGCCCAGGAGGGGATGAGAGGTGGCTACTGGGGTGGCTCCCCTGAGGTCTGTGGGTGAGAGTAGGTTGCTTCTGACCTCTCAATGGGAGATGATGCCATGGGGAGAGTGGGACACGCTCTGCTCCTGGGTTTTTTCAGGTGCCTGTTGGGCCCCAGCATCCTGAAAGGGCTGAGCTGGCTGGGACCCTGCCGGTGGGAAGCGTGCGATGGCACATCTCCAAGGGAAGCCCCACCTCTTCTCACAATATTTACTTCCCCTCCTTGGCCCTCTCCCAACACCCTAAGTGCAGAGCAAACACAGTGGGGCACTTTTTGCTCCCATTTGGAAGCTCTGTGCTTTTCCCTGTGCTTGCTCTGCTCTGCGTCTCCTCCCCCCTCCAAGCCCTGCTCTGTGGGTGTCTGATGGCTACTTGGTGAGAAACAAACCAACCTGAGCTAAAGAAACCCCCTAATTTCTTCTGAAGCCAGCATGAGCTGCTGTCTTGCATTTGGGCAGCGAGTCCAGATGGAGATGGATTTGTCCCCTGTGGTAAGGACACAGCTGTGTTCCTGCCAACTCCTACAAATGCAGCAAGTCTTCAAAACCCAGCAGAGACTCAGGGGTCCCTCATTTTCCTCCCTTTGTATGATTTTCCCTGTATTCGCTCTTCCTCTCCCCAGCCTGTTCCTTGGTGCACTGATACTCTCACCTAAGCTATGTAAAGCTGTTCAGCGGGGCTTGTGGTGTTTATACCAGGAATTAATCCTCCAGTAAGCTCCACGTAGGTTTTCCAAACACAGAGATGTAAACTACAGAGCGGTAAGAAAGGTCACAACCGGAGCTTGGCCAGCTCCTCCAGTGATTACATCCACAGTGGGACTTGCTCCCCTGGGGTAGAGGTAGCCTGGAGTGGGTGTGATGGAAAAAAATTGGGTGATGAACTGGAATCATGCCATGGGGGCTCTCCTGTGACAGTGGGAGCAGAGCAGGTGAGCTGTAGGGATTTCTGCCCCTTAATCTGCTGATTCAATGCACTTCTGGGAATGCCGGGGTGCTCCTGAGTCAACAGCTGCTGTCTCGCCCCCTCTCCTGGCGTGTGACACATCTCCTGGTGCAGCCCTGTGTGCAGACTGTCTCGCAAACACCCTCTTGGTGTTTTGTTGCAAACTTCTAATTGTCGCAACAATTTACACGAATCGCATTTGCAAGTTTTGGGAGAAGTCAAGTTTTTGATGGTTTCCCAGTTATTTGGTGAATAAACCGATTAAAATGGAGGGAGAAGGTGGGAGAGCAAGTGTAGTATTTTTCTTACTGTGCTCTGAAGAGCTCACTAATATGCCACACAGGGAATACTTGGCCAGCCCTGGGAATTTAAATGCACCCTTCTTGACGCTTTACCTGTGAAGATCCTGAAGTTTCCCTCATTTGTTACAGAGAACTGGCCCGATGAGGAAGGGGAGTGCAGGGATGTTTGGGTGACACACAGCTGTACTGTGAATTTCACACAATCTCAGAATGATTTAGGTTTGAAAAGACCTCCAGGATCATTGAGTCAAACATTTAACTGATCAGCACCTTATCAACTAGACCAGAGCACTGAATGCCATGTCTAGCTGTTTATTGAACACCTCCAGGGATGGTGACTCCACCACCTCTCTGGGCAGCCCCTTCAATGCCTGACAACCCTTTCTGAGAAGAAACTCTTCCTGATGTCCAGTCTGAACCTCCTCTGGCATAGGCTGAGGCCATTTCCTCTCATCCTGTCACTAGTTGCTTGGAAAAAGAGTCAGACCCCCACGTGGCTCCACCCTCCTGTCAGAGAGTTGTAAAGAGCAAGATCATCTTGGTTGGATTTACTTGGGACTTCTAGTAATTTGTACTTTCACCTGTGATATTATCAGAGTGCTTCTATACTTCAAGGTTTTCTTGCTTCTTTTCTTTCCCCCCTATTCTACAAACAACAGGCCACATCTCCTTTTCTAAAAGTTTCCCCATGATGGGAAGTGGTGTGGGCATTGGAGACTGGCAGGAAGAAGGAGGATACTTTGGCCTTGATGCAGTATCCAGCCACCCTGTGATGCTGCAGGCAGGTTTAGGAAGCAGAAATGCATCTGCAAGTTTCCCTCCTTGTGTTGTGGCTGGTGCCAGTCAAGCTGAGCATGAATTGGAGCAACAGGAATTGTGCAAGTATTGTGTGTTCCTGGCTCTCCTTGCCTTTGTTGGACTGACATTGTTTTTGTCTTTCAGGCTAAAAACAAGGAAACTGGTGCTTTAGCGGCTGCCAAAGTCATTGAAACAAAGAGTGAAGATGAACTGGAGGATTACATGGTGGAGATTGAAATCCTGGCAACCTGTGATCACCCTCACATTGTCAAGCTGCTGGGAGCATTTTATTGGGATGGCAAGCTCTGGGTAAGAGGCTCTTGCTGTGTGTGACGTGTACAGCTGCACAGTTCTCACTCTGCTGGGAGGAAATGGCTAATCTATGGTGAAGCACAACCTCTGGAGCAGCTTGAAGCATCAGTGTGACTTGGAAATTACTCACAAGCTGTGCTCTACTCACTGTGTGATCAGGGCCTGGATTTTCCCCGTGTTCTTTGATGAGTAAACTGTCTTCTAACTAAAGCTGCTTATAAGTAGCCAAGGGAGGGTCAAGAAATCTTCACAGTGAAACTGGAGCTGTGGTTTTTTCCACCATTTGGAGTTTGTAAAGGTAGAAAGTGCATCACTGATCTGTTTCCCTCTCAGTCCCTCTTATAAAACATTAGCTGGAAAGGTAACTCTTCCAACTGATTTTTTGGATTTGGGCTTTACTTCTGGCTCAGCATCTGTAATGCAGAGGCAGCTGAAAACAAGAGCTCTGTTTCCCATGGCTGTAGAGGCACAGGGACATAAAATGCAATCGAGTGGATTAGTGCAAAGGCTGGAACAGCAGGTTCCTGCAGCTCTTTCCCCTAGCCCGGCAGGTGTATATATATTATTTTTTATTTTCCCTGCCTGCTGTTTTCTATGAGTCCCTGGCAGCAGAGGAAGGTGAGCGTGAAAGGCACCTTCCTGTGTGCTGCCATAGGAAAGCTGCAGCCTGGGAGAGGGTAAGGGCATGAACCATTGTATGCTCAAACAACTGTGTGCATGAAGGTGTGCCTGTGTCAGGATAGTGGAAATCAGGTGAAAATGAGGATTTCCAAACCCATCTCCTGTGCCAGTTCGTCTGCTTCTACTTATAACTGCAGGCAAGTCAGGAGAGTGTCAAAGGGTACATTCAGCAGCTCTGTTACTTTTTTCTTCCTCTTTTTAATGTTCCATATAACTCCGTGGCCTCCCTGAGTCATTTTAGTAGAGATAAAAAAAGAGATCTCAGCTTTTGGGGCTTGCACTTGTGTGAACTGAGCTGTCGGAGCCGTCGGTCCCTGGTTGTGGTGCCAAGGGCTGAGCTGGGATAATGCAATCCATGTTCATTCCTCAGTTAAGCAATGCAGGAGAGGGACTTCTGTTGGGCAACGTGTGTTTAGTCAGCAAGCTCCTTTTGCAATGTCAGCATGTGTTGGTGACCCTTCTTATTTAAAAATCCGCGGATATAGCCCCCAACTTCTCTTTGACACCCCACTTGGAGGGCTGCAGTGCAGCGTGGAGCATTTCTGTTCTGTGTCTTCTTGACTCAAGGGAGCTGGGCACAAGTTGTCCAGTTGGTATTTGGACAGCTGCTAATGGTGATGCTGAGCCCTGGCTATGTTAAAGAACAAAGTCAATATGTACCCTTCTAAGGAAGTGAAAGGCAAACATCCCTCCTAGGAGGGGACTCAGGATTTGGATGGATTGCAACTGCAGCCGAACTAATCTCGGCAAAATGAAAAAGGCAAACACACGCTGAGCTTGGGTAAGACGTGAGGCTGGTTTATAGTCGACCCTGTTCGGCTGGTTTCACCTCCCTGCTCTGTGCCTGGTCTGCCTGAATCTTACACATTGGCCTTGTTCGCTCTCTAAAATGTGAACCCCCTCCCCTTTCCCCTTCCACCTCCTCCCTGCAATAGGAAGCTTTGCCTTCCTTCCTGTAGGGAAAATGGATTGCAGAGCTCCTTGGCTCTGCCTTTGTCCAAGAAGTGCTTTGTAATGTCAAATGCTTGCCGACCTACTAAAATTAAACAGCCTCTTTGAAACTCCTGGAACAAGAGCCTCCTGTATGAGGCTCTCCCGCGAGGGCACGTTACAGCCCCGGCCATTGTTCTGGGAGGAGGATCATTCTCTTTATTTAATTATTTGAGTAGCATTTGCATTTCATTGCTCAGGCTGTTTTTATTAATGCTCTAGTGTTTTACTGGCTTGGAGGGAAGTAAATAAGCCAGGCCATTATACTTCTGGAAGGCTTTTAGTCACTACCAGGTTTTCCCTGAAGTCAAAGGCTTCCGCTTCTTGGTCACCAGTGCTGCTGGGGAAAATTTGCATCCAAACATAAACACCAGCTTTCATTGTTCTGTCCATATCCCATCCCCGTTTCTGTCTGTGCAGTTGTTTAAACCAGCATTTTCCTGGACCATTTGCATGATGGGTGCATGGACTCCGCTGTGCTCCTGGCTCCAAGTGGCTTTGGGTAGAACCTCTGAGGGTGCCTGTCTAGTCAGCAATTCACTGTGGTTTCCTTGTCCTCGCAGCCCAGTGTGGAAAGAGAATGTTCAAAGTGAGAAAGGGACAGGAATGGGAGCACACAGACAGGCTGGCAAGGGGTGCAGATGTGCCCAACCTCCTGAATGGCAGTGGCTCTTTGGCTCTTGAATAATTTACAGCTTGGTCTATGCCACAAACAGTCTCAGCTGATGGAGCTGAGAGGGGTTCTTGTTAAATCGGTCTGACTGTTCTCTGACTCTTGAAATAACATGGAAATATGTTAGGAAACCTGGACTTCATGATGGCTGCTTCTGCAGAAGCTCCCTTGTCACCCTGGGAAGCTTTAGGTCCCTGTGGCTTCTCTTGCCAGGGTCTGGCTTTGCCCTTCAGTAACCAGGAGATGACATAAAATATTTATGGAGCAAAAGACCTTTCTGTGCAAAGGGAAGTGGCTTATCCTACAGCAGCTGCTTTGAAATCCATAGCACTGGAATGAAAGAAAACCCAGCAAATTCCTCTGGCTTTTATACCAGGTAAATCACCTTCACGTGATTGGCATCAAGCTGAAGGAGGAGAGCCCCAGTTCTTGTGTGGCACAGAGCAAAGCCCACTGTGAGCCACAGGCAAGGGCTTGGAGGACCCCAGTTAGTCCCCAGGAATATAACTGGTGGAATGGCAGCGTCCAGCATGAACTTCATTGGCATATAAATACACTGCAGAGAGGCTGTGCCCTCACCAGGAGCTGCTATCTTGTTCCATTCCCCCTCAATCTTCTTTTCTTTGCTTGTGGCAGAGGCTAAGAAGTCTTGTGCTGGCTGAAAACAGCCCAGGGAGGCTGCAAAACTGCTGTGGTGGGAGCTTTCATGATTTTATTTTATTTTTATTACAAGCCCTGTGGCATTTGATGTTCTTTTGCATAAATACCAGCTGCTGGAAGTGGGGGCACCAAATGGAAGCTGAGAATTTCATACTACAAAAAAAAAAAAATCTGTTTTGAGTCCTTGTGGCTGGGACACATTTTGAAGTCTCTTTTCCTGAAGTGGGATGTAGGACTTGGAAACACAAAAGCAAATCCCCCTCACTCAATATAACACAGCTTTAAAAATGGACTTGTTAAAACTATTTGTGATTGAGGAATGGGACTGAGACCTGGGTTTGTTTGCTTGGAATCAACGGTGCTGAATTTGCACTGATAATTATAAGTACATGGGAAAGAAAAACAACAGCTCTTGTGTCCCTCTTGAGGGCTGCGTGTTTGGGTGTTTTTTCCTCTTCCAAAACAACAAAAAAAGACTGAAACCTCAAAGGAAGGGAGGAACTTTTGATCTCCTACTTCTGAATACCTCTGCTGTTTCCAAGTGTCTCCTCCCGCAGACAGAGGAGTGATAAGGTGACCAGTGAGGAGAGTCTTGTTTGGTGTGATGAACGTTCAGTGCTGGAAATCTCTGCTCCCAGGGATGGTGACTGATAGCATAGGATGGCAGCTGATCCACAGAGCAGGGCAGGAAACCCAGGATCCTTCCTACAGGAACCTGTCAAGGTGCCCCAGCATCAAGTCTGCAGGATTCTCTGGAAATGAGTTGAAATGCCATTTGGCCCCAGGGATTTAACCACAGGACTCTCACAGTGGTGGTGCAGCCTTTCTAGCAAAGCACCAGGGAATTCTTTCCCCCTCCCTCCTTTTCTATAACCCACGGTTGCTATAGCAAACGGATTTTTGAATAAACAGAAGTTTCCTGGAGATCAAAGCAAAAATTGCTGTACTGTGCAGGTAACCCTGCCTCACCAGAGCATTTTGGAAATGGTAAATTTAATCAGCTTAGAGTTTCCTCTCCCTGGCCCACTGTGTGGGTATGTAACTCATACAGCTGGCAGATAGACACCAGCTTTGTACTAGTCTTTGTACTTGCCTTAAAAGTCTTTTGCATTTTCTGTGGGCAGGCCCTGACCTGTTTAGCCAGGGACTTTTTGGATTGGCCCCCCTTTGATATGGATGTTGACTGGAGATTTGGGCATTCCTGAAAATCCTGTAGCATAAATAAATGTTCATTATCCCATGCACTAGACTGCTGGGCTATGTAAAGCATCTGCAGCTTTTAATTCTCTTAAGTTGGAAATACCTTTTCTTTAAAACAAACAGAAAAGAGAGCTGATAACAGTGTCAGATTCCCTACAGTTTTCCTTAGCAAAGGGGGGTTATTACAACTTGCAGGGATGTCTTGCAGGGTCAGCAGCCTAAGCCTGGCTGGATGCCTGCAGGATCCTGTTTGCATGAATGCTGGACCAGACCAGGGCTCTCCAGGCTGCTCAGTCCTCTGTCCCCAAGGAATCTAATGGTGATTCGTGTCCCTTTAAAACTTCACTTGGCAGGAGAGCTGCAGTCTGAACTGGCCCTTCCTACTTGGCCTTGTTCTCCTGAAGCTTTGTACAAAACTTCCCCCCAAAGCGCTTGAACAGTTGTTTGCAGCTCGCAAGAGTCGAACTGCACGTTGTGCTGGAGCGTAGCAGAGACCCAGAAAAACAACGTGATCCCAAACTTTGTTAAACAGTTTGACAGTGTCCTAGAGGAACAACCCTTTCCTTTCTCTTCCTCCTTCCTCCAGCTGCAGAAATGTAAATCCCTTCCAGATATAGCTGTGCCCTGAGACACCCCATGCTGGGCTGCCGGCTGGGCCGTGCTCCGATTCCCGTGAGCTGCTGCAGGATAAGCCCCACTGGGCAAACCAGTGTGGGGGTGGTGTTCGCTGGACTGGTTTCTAAATTCCTGCCAGTCCAGAATTTGGGCAGAATGGCAAAACATCCCCAGTAAC